TTTTGAGAGAAAATCAGTATTCACTTTACTGAAGGTAAATTCCGAGTTGGCACACTTTTAAACGTTAGATAGCGACACTGGATACTAGAGCTTCCTTTTTTCCCAACTGCACAAAATTCATCATTCGTGTCAAAACTCCAAACATTTGGAAAAACAAATTCGGTCTTAATTGCATAGATTTGTTTTTATCTCCCTATAACCAGTTTCATTCATGAGCAAGACGAAAAACAGCTATTTCTTTAGGGTACACTCAGCCCCTGTATGTATTAGTTTTACACTTGTCCCAAGCTGTTTGCTGCGTTTTCAAGAATCATCTGAAGTTATAACCTTTAGTTTAGGCTTGATTGTCGATATAGTCATTGAAGTGTAAAGTTCAAAAGAAAAAAAAAGAAAAAGAAAAAGATTAATCTAATTGGAATTTGTTTCTTTTCCCTGTGTCTTGTCCAGACAGGATTGAACTGAATGGCATCGTAGTCGCATCAAGATCATTTCTTGTGAAACACTCTCATATTATACAATATCGGGACTTTACCAAGTCTAGAGTTGCTTTCTTTGACCGAGCAATGAAAATCACTTTTTAGAATATAAACAAAAAACAAAACAAGAAGAACAAAACAAAACAATTCAGAGTGTGAATCCGATAACTATTTAATAGTCTGATATTCCACGGTCAAATGATAACGATAGTCCAAGACAAGTTCTGAAAAATCTGGAAATTTTTACCAACAGTTCTTTGAATGATGAAGAATATACTCTTGGCACGTTCATATTTTTCATTCAGTTGCGAGGCTCTGCTTTTGCAACTCCAAGCCGGGGAGGCATTTGAGAAGGGTTTACAATGAAACTTTCATTATTTCCGATGATTACGTACTCCCCCCAAACTTGGGTGCGGGTCTGCCGCTGAGACGTCACTAAAACCCTGATCCTGTTCCAGAGTGAAATCGCTGAAAACTATACCCTGTTCCAGAGTAAAATCGCTGAAAACGATATCCTGTTCCAGAGAAAATCCAGTACTAGCCTGCGTGTAGACCGAATTTTAACCCCGTGAATTTTTACCCAGCATCAATAATTCCGGAATTAAACCCTGACCCTGTTCCAGAGAAAATTCGTTGAAATCGATACCCTGTTCCAGAGTAAAATCGCTAAAAACTATACCCAGTTCCAGAGTAAAATCGCTGAAAACGATACCCTGGTTGGCGGCACGTCCCCGTATAGCGAATATAGGGGAGTGATCCCCCCCCCCCCCCCCGGGTTTTTGATGCACCTCGATAGTGATTCAAATACTTACGCTGGCGAAAAACGGGACATTAGCTCGTCGATTACTGAATCGATCGCAGTTTTTGCCATCATTATCAAGATGTTTGTTGATATTTTTAACTCTTGGAGAACCAATGTTGTTGTTATAGTCCGGGAACACGAGATGATACCCGTCTGTGAAAATCCGTACTCTGTTGCTATGGAATGTGTGATTGTTTTGAAGAGGCGGCCCCCTTGGGTCTAGAGTAATAATGCTTTTGAACGAAGTTATTTTCATTTTAACGAGTCTACACGTTTTCATTGATCAATAGTCAATCGTTGAAATTTAGAGGGAGCAAAAATAAGATGACCACTATTAAAGATATTAATCTTAAAAATACATGTCATTTTGAACAGTTTTTTCTTGTTTTTCATATTTGGTGATTACAAGCACTTATGACCAGGAAAAACAATTGCAAAAATGTCAGGTTTCACTCATCAAAAGTCAAACTATTTATATTTGATTTGATCAGGCCGCTCTAGAAACGATTTTCGTCTACAAAAATAGATGATGCACCTGTTTACGACTTGTATCTCACTTCGGCCAAATATGAATAAAACATTATCAATGAATATAAAATTATTACATGTAAAATGTGAAACTCGAACGCTCTGAAGTCGTTAGGGCCTTCCTAATGGACTGCGCACTATTTATCAGGGAAGGGGTTGAGAAATGAGCCAGTTTCTGTAAGGCAATTAAAAGAAATGCAAAAAGTGTTTTGAGACGATTGTATCGAACAAATTATTTATTATTTTCGTGGCGTTTTTAACAACTTCTAACATACATACTGCTAGATGAAGGACAAGTTAACGAATGCTATATAGTTGTCAGTCCCAGGCTTTATATATTTAAAAGTTAAGGTAAACAATACAGTTTCAATTTACTTTAGAAACATAGCTGGAAATTGATAATGATGAATGTAATAATATTTGTAAAACTCATGAATAATTAATATAACAAAAAAACACAATAGAATTCACAACCGTGAAGAGTGTGTTGTAATATTTGATACAAAACTGTCTTGATTTGCATAAACTTCAAATCTAATTTTTTAAGCCAAATTCAATTTTATCTTTAAGTTTTTAGTAGATTATGAATGTATACACCTAAACGTTTCACAAGTAATTCCCATACAACACGGCCGCTCATGTTGTAAACTATACGTACAACCGGCACGGCCGCTCATGTTGAAATTTGGCACGGAAAATTTGCAACTAATGGGCGCCATTTTGAATGCCGAGTTGTTGTGTTT